GGGGGTGGGGAGTGAGGTGGTTCCCACCTGTGACACCTCCACCTCTTCCTCTGTGAATTGCCCAGCTCATGAATGCTGCCAGCTACAGGTGTGAAAGATGAAGTGAATGACATGAGATGATTTATGTAAAAGCCATGCTCTTTCTAGATTCTTCTAAAGGTCTCTTGTGGAGTCTGTGTCGAGGATTGGGATTCTCTAGGGGTAGACCCAAGAGTCTCTCTTCTTATGTGATGTCGTTGAATCTGATGAGCAGCTATAGCCTTGAGAACCACTGAGTAATGCCAGTATTAGTGCCATGAATATCATTACCATCACTCTAGCATCAAGGGTCCAGTTTAACTGGAGTAGGAGCCCAGGGGTCGGGTCCTGCTTCCTGGTCGAGCCCTTTATTTCTCCCTGTCTACGGGTCATGGAACATGCTGTCTTGTCCAACATCCAAGAACCCCCTGAGTCTGGCCAGCCTCAGCATTCCTGTCCCGCTTCCCCTCTCTCGACAACCTCTTCACATCCTTGACTTACACTGGACTCTACACCCACAAGATTTGGGCCGTGAGGTCTCAAGGAGTAGAACTGGGGTCAGAGATGGACCTACAGGGAGAATGTTTTGACTTGTTGGGAGAAATCACTTGTCACACACAAGCCACTACCACACCTGGGATGGAAGGCAGAGACAGCATTGCCAGGGCCCCCAAGCCAGTCCCGCTCCGCGGAAAGGGACAGGTTGCTGGCACCACAGGGAGAAGGCTGGGGCCAAGGAGCAGACGCACCTGCCAAAGTGGGAGTGGGACCATAGGGAGATGCCCAGCCTCTCCTCTTCCCCACAGAAGACAACATCAGACCTCTCATTGGCCAGTCCTGCCAGGGAGCTGGGAAGGAAGGGAGCCTGGGAAATGTAGTTCTAGTTCCCTTTGCAACAACAGAACAGAGAAAGGGTCCCGGGGTAGCCAGGCAAATGACACACAGTTCCCACTTATACACTCTGAGACCCGATATCTTTGCTTCTAATTGATTCTGTGTGACAGTTTATTCTTCTGTGTCCCTAACTAGGTTTTAAAGCCCCTAAGGGTGAGGATGGGGATTGACTTACTCCCTGTGGCAAACCCTGTGTCTTACGCTCACTACGTGTTTGCTGAACAGACACGCCGGTGAAAGCCCTCGCCCCCGTGAGGGCACAGGTCTTTTCACCACTGCCCTGCTTCCTTCCTAAGTCAGACCCTCAGAGGACTGAGGGAAGGGCCATGAGCACTGCGCACACACGGGCCACCAGAGTATTCTCATTGTGCTCTGAAGCCTCGCTGATAACAAAATTAGTGCCCTTGGGTTCGTCTTCTTGAATCCTGAGACTGCGACCTTCTGTATCACAATAAGGGAGGTCAGGGGCGCCTGAGTGGCTCAGACGGTTAAGCGTCGGACTTCAGCTCAGGTCATGATCTCGCGGTTTGTGGGCTCGAGCCCCATGTCGAGTTCTATGCTGACATCGCAGAGGCTGGAGCCTGCTTCAGATTCTGTGTCTCTGTCTCTCTGCCCCTTCCCTACTTGTGCTCTGTCTCTCTTTCTCTCTCAAAAGTAAATAAACCTTAAAAAAAAAAAAAAAGAATGAGGGAGGTCAGCCTAGATTGGAATTTCTGTTTTAAGTCTTGGGTAAATCATAATTTTCCCCTCATGGCATCCACTTAAATTAACTTTTTGACAGTGAGATTGTATTTATGTTTTGAATAAATAATACATTCATATGGCATAGCTTTTAAAAGGACCAAACGAATGTAAAGTAGAAGGCTTCCATTGTATTTCTCTCCCCCAGCCAATCAGAACCCCTTCCTGGGGGCAGCCTGTGATACCAGTTTTTTTGTGTATCTTTTCCAAGGTTTGTGTCTGTTTTTGCATGCCTGTGCATGTGCACGCGTGCGCGCACACACACACACACACACACACACACACACATTCCTTTATCACACAAATTGTTGCATATTCTATGCAAAGTTCTGTACCTTGTTCTTTACACTTGACAGTATATCTTGGGGATCTTCCTGTATCGGAATATAGAAAGCTACTTCTGTTTTAATGTCTACGTAATGTACCATTACATAGATGTATCATAATTTGTTTAAATAAGGGAGACCTGGGCTTTTTCAGTTCCCGTTATAGAAGATGTTGAACCAGTCTTTGTGCCATCATGAAAGTGTGATTAGCTTTGGGATTCTCCAAGAAGATGTAGGCAGGAGGAAAAAGTTTAATGGAAAGTTTGAGATAAATAAGAAATAGTGGAAAGAGCCCCGGCCTGGAGTTTAAGGCCTCTAACTCACAAAAGTAATAACAAAGTCCCCTTTCAAGTCTCTAGCTTCTTCCAATTTACAAAACAATTTAATATTTGTTAACTCATTGATTTGTTAGGGAAAAAATATCGTGTGAGAAGCTATGATGTTTTTTTCCAGCTCTTAACTCACTAGTTGTATGGCCTAAATTTCTAATTTGTATATCCTGGTTAACTTATCTATAGAATAAGGATAATGAAGTATCTACCTCATAGGGTCATTTTGAGCAGGACATGAGCTACTCCTGTAAAGTGCTTAGAACAGGGTTTATCATAGAGCAAGAATTTAGTAAGTGTGAGCTATTATCATTCTGTAAATGAGTAAAGGAAAACACAGAGCAATAAATAAAGTACAGTCACCTAGCTCATAAAAGATACAACTGGTGCAGGGACCCAGGTCTCCAGGCCCCAAACAAGTCATGATTCTCAACCATGAGGTCTTAGAGACATGTTACCAGAACAGTGACAGCAGTCCCGGCACAGAGCAGCTATAGGAATAATTGCCATAGGAATTTGACTGACCTTGTTCAAGAGAAATTAGTTCAACCTCACACTTAGGGCTGTAATTTATCAAATCGAAGATGTCATCATGTATAAGAAGCATTGTTACACGAAATGCAGAGAAGGAAGGATGGAAGGAAGGAAGAGAGAGGGATAGGGAGAAAGAAAGGAAGGAAAGGGAGGGAGGGAGGGAGGAAGGAAGGAAGGAAGGGGGAGAAAGAGAAAGGGAAAGGCTGCTAATTAAAGCTATAGGACACTGTGCTGGTTTTCAGACTGTGGTCTCTCAGCTCCAGACTTACCCTCGATGCTCTGCCCTGTGATGCAGGGGCTGGGACCTGCATGTCTCATCTGCCCTTTGATAAGAGGCACACAAGAGCCACACTAGAGGAGGAGGGGCAAGGGGCTTGGTCCTGTTTGGCTGAATTTCCTGCTAGTCCCAGCAGTGAGTCTAGTTCCCAGCCTTTGTCTACACTGCAGAACACTGTGCCCCTCAGAAGAACAGCCCCAACGGGCCAGTGCCCACCCTTGAAGATAAGCCAGGTCTTGAGGGCCCTTCTTCCAAGCCCCCAAAGTGTCAGCACCACATGGGCAGCACCCCGTCTTCAGAGATCCCCCTTTTGACATCTGAGTTCCCCAATACCTGCTTAACCAACTCCCTATGTTAAATTCTCTCTGCTAAAATCACTAGAGTGGTTTCCATTTTCATGCTTGAACTCTGACTCAAGGATCATAAGGCACATCTTGACTTTAGAAATGTTAAGTGAAGGTCTTAGAGTTGATGAAATACAGTATTGCATCAGGGAATTCGTGAAATGTGACACTGCCTTTGAAGGTGACCTAATTAGCCTTAGTGGTGAACCCAGGAGGGGGAAGTGCCTTGCTCAGGGTCATATAACCAAAGGTGGCAGTAGGGATCAGTGGGATTCTGGGCCCTGTTCCTGACCCTTAGGTCAATGTTCTTTCCACTGTGCCTGAATCTCACTCTGCTGACCCTTCTGAAGGGCGTGACCCCTGCTCCTGGGATGGATAGGTCAACATCCTCACGGTGGGCCTCCTCATCAAACCACTCCTTTTTTTCCAGGAAGCACACTCTGCTGGTCAACAATGGGTTTGCGATATCTGCTGCACTGCTCATGGCCTGTTCTCTCCAGGCAGGAGCCTTTGAAATGCTCATCGTGGGACGCTTCATCATGGGCGTGGATGGAGGTAAGCCTTAACCGTTACTGCAAGAGGCAGTAATGCGTGCCTCGGGGGTGCTTCGAAATGTGAGTGGTGTTTGGAGCTGTCACAGGACTGGGCTCCTACTAGTGTTGAGTTGCCAGGGACCAAAGATGCAGAAAGTCTGCATGAAGGGGACAGTCCCATGAGATGAACCACTCATGAGGCTCTAGCAGGCTAATTGAGAAACACTGCCTGGTAGAAACCCGAGTCAACTCCAAAGACCTGGATGGTTTTCAGTACGTCATGCCTTTTGCTTTGTCATCTTCACTGTAAAATTCATATTCTGAGATTGTCTGTGGTTTCCAGGGGAGTTTTAATGAGGGTTGTGTTTCCTGTCCGGACTCTGACTTATTCATTCCTTCATGTATTCACTGAGTATTTGTGGAGCCCCTGCTGTGCCTGGCATTCTTCTCCATGCCAGGGGCACAGTGGTGAGTGAAATGCCCCAGTCCCTACCCGTGCAGCTTACATTCTAGTGGGTGGACAGACACATAATTAGATACATAAGGTAGGTAGTGGCAAGCCCTAGGAGAGAAATGAAGCAGGGCAGGAGGAGAGTGGGGACTATTTTAGGTAGGGCAGTCAGGGAGGACTGCTCAGAGGAGGAAACACATGAGCAAAGACCAGCATGAACCAAGAGTGAGGACCAAGTAAATGTTGGGGGAATGGGGTTCGTGGCCAAGAGAACAGTGCACTGGCCCTGTGGTGAAGTCGTGCTTGGAGAGTGAGGAGGCCAGCACAGCTGGAGCTTGGTGAGTGGGAGGAGAGTTGTAGATGAGGTTGAAGAGGGGCCGCTCAGATCACGTAGGGCATTGTAGGATTTGTGCCGAGGGTGATGTGACATGAGCTGGTTGTTTTTTCCGTAAGATTCCTCCTGCTTCTGTATAGAGAAGAGTGGAATTGGGGAGCCAGTTGTCCAAGGGGAATAGCTGTGGTGGGGTGAGATGGCGGCCGTAAGGCTGCGAAGTGCAGCCGGCTGCTGGCTGTGGGCTGTGAGAACAGGGGCCTCCAAATATATTATATTAGTAAAACCAGCTGACCGGCCAACCGACCAACCAACCTTGCTTTCTTTCTAAATACTGTGAGTGTGGAAGGTAATACTTTCAGGCATTTGTGGGAAGCTTGCAAACTTTTGGATTAGAAATCTCTGCCTTTGCTCTGAGGTCTGCTGCTTACCGATCACTGACTTCTGACAAGGTGCTTAATGGCCTTGGTTTCCCCATTTGTAAAGTGGAAATAACACCTGCTTTGAAGGGCTGTCACAAGGCTGACAGGACGCCATATACACATATAAAATCTGCCAAACTTGTGAGCTCATTAAAGGCTCATTCCCTTCCTTGCTGATTCTTGCAGGCTGCAGGCCCCAGGCTTTGGGAGTGAGCTGAACAAACGTGCCTCAGGCAGAGGTGAGCAGGAGAGTGAGGGCCTGAGGAAGGTCAGGGGGCGAGACTTCCCACCCCTCCCCTGCGCTGCTGGTGGGAAATACTCAGGATCAGTAATAACCCAGACTCAGGGTGAAATTACTCCTCTGTCTTGGTATTCAGGTAGAAAGAGATGGCTCTAGAAAATGTTCATTGGTAAGAATAATGCCTGGCTTTACGTGGTGTCTCACAGTTAACCAGTGATGGTTAACTGGGTTGTTGTGCTCTGATCTAATGCTGAAGGACTGTTACGTTGTTGTCATTTTACCTGGAGGACACTGAGGCTCAGACACGTGACTGTAGCATGGTTAAGGCTGAGGGCTATGGGTTTGCACTGTCTGGGTTCTCCCACTCACCTAGCTTATTTCATGGCTTTGAATCACTTAGATTTTGCTACCAAAAATAAAATATAAAAAACTGAAACATAAGGGCTTAAAGCAGTAATTTTTTTAAATGCTAATTTTTGAGAGAGCGACAGAGCATGAGTGGGGGAGGGGGGGGGAGAGAGAGAGAGAGAGAGAGAGAGAGAGAGACAGAATCCAAAGCAGGCTCCAGGCTCCGAGCTGTCAGCACAGAGCCTGACGTGGAGCTCAAACTCACGAACCATGAGATCATGACCTGAGCCAAAGTTGGACGCTTAACCCACTGAGCCACCCAGGAGCCCCAGCAGTAATGGTTTTGGCTGACTTTGTAAGTCTTTGGGCTGGTGGGGCAGTTCTGATCCGGGCCAGCTCTGCGGCTCTCCTCTGGGCTCTCTCGAGCGCTGTGGGGCGACTTCAGATGGCCTCACTCGCCTGTTTGGTTGTCGGCAGCTGAGTTGGGGCCGCAGGGGCCAGCTCGTCTCTGCTCCACAGGGTCTCTTCCCAGGGGATCCTCAGAGTTCCAGAGAGTGGCAACCGGGCAGGACCCGCCGTGCAAGCGCTTGTCAGGTCACTGCTTGTGGCACGTCTGTCGGGGTCCCCTCGGCCAGGCCGAGTCTCATGACCAGGCGCACAGTCCGTGTCAGAGGGACCTAAGCCCCCGAGGACGCAGACTCAAGGACTGTGAAGAGCAGCCTTCTGCTCGCTGTCTTAGCCTCTGAGTCTTCATCGCGAGGCCCCGCTGGTGGGCGTGTGAAAACGAACCGAGAGGCTGCGTGTGTGGCGCTTCGTACGTTCCAGGCATCTCGTGCCTTCGCCCAGCGCTGAGAATGGTGACGGCATCGTTGCCCTTAGTGCTGCCATTGTTTTTATTCTCAGTGAATAAGGTGTAGATCCCAGATTTGGACCGAAATGTCTGGTTTCACAGGCCCCGCCTGCTGATGAGAAAGGCCAGGTGAGGTGCAGCATGAGGGACCTTCCCCCGCGGAGGGCATCTCTGGCAGGTTTAGATTTTATCCATCACCCTCTCCCAGTTGTCTTCCTCTCCAGCTATTCTGGGGGAGGCCACACTTACTACACATAGTTAGCTGCTCTCTGAATTTCCTTAACTAAGAAAAAGCCGGATTTGAAGAGCGATGCCATTTTTACAAGGCCACGTATTCAAGACACGTGTCTGTTAGACCCCTTTTCTGAGGAGCTTTTCAAAAAGAAGCAGAAGACAAAAAGTAAGAACAAGGAGGGGAGAAAAAATCAGACCCTCTGACTTCTGGAGAATAGCCTGTTGGAGCTGGCCCAAGATGTGGAAGCTTCAGGTCATTTATGCTCACCAAGCCCTCTCAAAGCAGAGACGGGGACCTGCTTTTGAGCAGGCATTTGAGGTGAGGCAGTTGGTCAGGAAGAAAGGAAAATTGCTGGGCAGGAGATGAGTGGACTGTCTGGCTTGTAATACATAATTTAAAGCCGAGTGATGAGCCTAGAGGCTTTGCAGAGGCTGTGCTGCTCAAGCCGGGTTTGCGGGCAGTATTTGGAACCACAGCAGAAACCCACGATGCCTTCCTGAAGTGTCCTTTCTCTAAAAAGCTTGGCCAATAAACAAACAAACAAACACATTTTTACATTGAAAATGTTTTGTGTTTGTGGACGATTGTGTTGGACAGGTTCCTGCCAAGCCCTCCCAGTGCTGCCCACACTCCTAGGGATGCAAGCCTGTGTCCATGCATTAGGAGCTCTCTGATGCGCCCCCCTGCTGCATTAGGGGCTCTCTGGTGGACAAATATGAACAGTAGCATTTAGAGAAGCATATGACATGGAAAGAATATAAAATCAGGGTCAAGGAAGTGACTTTAAGTTCTGGTTCTACCATTGACTTGCCAGCTGACCTTGGGACCATCATTTCACCTCTCTGGACCCCAGTAATGTCATCTAGAAAATAAGGAGGAGTGAACTCTGGTGGCTGAGGTTTCTACCAACTCTACAAAAAAAATCTGCTTTGGCTCCTTTTGTACTCACCTTAGACCTACTATCTTGAATAGTCTCTTGAAACTTCTGGACCTCGCATGCCACATGGAGCTATATCGTTTACTCATTAAACAACATCAGACAATAGGAGATTGTGAAGTAAGAGCATATGTTATGATTTGAGTCAAATTTTAACATGACAGAGAGCATGTGTGGTGTTCTGAAAGATGGATTCTGGTCCCAGCCCTGCTACCTACCATCTGGGTGACCTCAGACAGACTTCTCTATCCCTCTATCCCTTTCCTCACATGTACAGTACAGATAACAGCATAGCTACCTGACGATGTTCAGGTACCATACAGGGGTGTGTGTGTGTGTCTGTGTGTGTTTCTGTGTGTGTGCATGTCTGTGTGTGTGTGCCTGTGTGAAGAGAAGAAGACAGAAAAATTAAAATACACAACTAAAATAGCATATAAATCAGGAAGGCAGTACATGAAATTGGAGTGTATTAAATTCTTTGCATTGTCTGGGAAATACTAAATGTACTACTTTATATTAGATTTCACTAAGACACAGATTCATGAAATGACCTCTAGAGCAATAATTTAAAGAAGAGAAAATAACATAACAATCAAATGACTTAAAAATACTTAATCCTAAAGAAGGCAAGAGAGGAGAGAAAACCAAATATAGGAGAGTGCCATATAGAACAGCAAATGGTAAGATGTTATATTTAAACACAAGAATAACACTAAATAGACTCAGTACTCCAATTAAAAGATAAAAATGGTGGGGCGCCTAGGTGGCTCAGTCGGTTGAGCATCCGACTTCGGCTCAGGTCATGATCTCGCAGTCTGTGAGTTCAAGCCTGGTGTCAGGCTCTGTACTGACAGCTCGGAGCCTGGAACCTGCTTCCAATTCAGTGTCTGCCCCTCTCGCTCTGCCCCTCCCCTGCTCATGCTCTCTCTCTCTCTCTCTCTCTCAAAAATAAATAAACATTAAAAAATTTTTTTTTAAAAAGATAAAAATGGTTACACTGGATAAATCAAATACCTGTGTATATGCTGTTTGTATCTTAGATGTAAAGACATAGGAAGATTGAAAATAAAATAATATAAAAAGCAATCCCAGGCAAACCCAAGCCCGTAAATATAGTTCGGCAGTACTGATAAGAGCCTAAGTAGATATGAAGGCAACAAAAATTACTAAAGACAATGAGAGAGGTTTCATGATGATGAAGCATTCA